GTGCATGTGCCAGAATAAGTACATGCGCGCGCATGTACGAAAATAGGCATCTGTGCGCATATGTACCAAATTCAGCATAGCCTAGGGATGGGCTTGGAGAAAATTAGTATAGCCCTCTCATCCAGATATATTTTCTAGTTATCTGACTTTTCAGTTGCTGATGGTTTGATGCACATAGATAAATGACCTTTGCAGGACTGATTACTGAGATCCTGAGAACCAACACATCCAAGAGAAAGGTCTAGCCACTAGAAATATGCATATAATCTTCAGTTTAATGTATCTTGTGTTTATCATTAGCTTATAATTAATTTTGTATGTTCTTAATTGTAATTTTATAATGTAATATAACTGGTCTGCTATTATTCTTACAAAATATTGTTTGTTTTGCATAACGGTGTATGTTGTGGTTTATTTTTGGCTTATTATTTTAAGTTTCATAATATTTTAGTTTTTTGACTGGCTGTTGGGTTTGTGTTTCTCTTTGTATAGGTATTTTGGAATTTTACGTGTCATCTGAGGTAGATGATAATTAATATACTATTATGACCAGTAATGTTTAATTTTAATATTCAGGTCTCTAAGGCCCCTTAAATAAGGAAGGGTGTTGTCACTTTTCCATAATTCGTTTAGAATACCTCTTTAGTAAAGTATTTTTCTATAATTTCCATGTAGGTGTTTTGTATGTAGTTATCACATCCTTGTAAATCAGATGTTGAAAGGTCAGAAACATGTATTAGACCTTTTGCTTAGATAACGATTATCGCATAGAAACTTGTAACATTTTGACCCCTATGTTGGGGCCACTTCCTGTGGTGATGGTAGCTCATTTTTAAGTGGTGACACAAATAGTTGTACAAGTTTTGGTTCAAAATGTAAGATTCTCCATTCATACTAATTTTTAAACGTCTATATTGCAAATTTTACAATTTATTTTTTACGTTTGTTTGTTTGTTTTGAATTTCGCGCAAAGATACATGAGGGCTATCTACACTAGCCGTCTCTAATTTAGCAGTGTAAGACTAGAGGGAAGACAGCTAGTCATCACCACCCACCGCCAACTCTTGGGCTACTATTTTACCAACGAATAGTGGGATTGGCCGTAACATTATAACGCCCCCACGGCTGAAAGGGTGAACATGTTTGGTGTGACGGGGATTCGAACCCGCGACCTTCAGATTGCGAGTCAAGCGCCCTAATCACCTGGCCATGCCAGGCCTTATCTTTTACTCTGTGTGTACAACTGAGTGATTGACTCAATTACCTATGGGCATCGGTTACACTGATTACAGTTATGAAAACATTTAACTTATAAAAATTAATGTTTTATGATTATTACTGTTTTTGATTACTCAGGACTGCGATGGTTTTATTGTCTTGAAATTTTTACATGTTCTACTGTAATTTCTGTACAATGAATTCGAAAATAATATCCATTTTTCAGATTTTTCACAAAACGTCATATGTACTTTTACATAAGTGAATCATTTTAATTGAAATTGGTCACATTTTGTTATGCTCAAAATGTTGACAACCACTGGCTATAGATTTCTCTAGGCCAATCGTAATCGTTCTAGAAGCCACGAGAAACACACTGCTAGTATATAAATGGTTAACAGGCCGCATGACATGTCATTTCTGGATGGTATTTGTTTGTGTGTGCACTTTGACATTATTTTTTATTTCCCATATTATTTATTCGTCGCTATGGCAACAAGAGGTTGTGTAAATGACCCAAACATATTCTGTTATATTTGTAGCAAATAAACAAATGTAAAAAATTACAGAACTAGGCAAAAAAGCATTTTAGGCATACTTGGGAATAAAATTTGGGGACCAAGACAAATCATGGGCTCTTCACAAAGTTTGTACCATTTGTGTCAAAGAATTGAAACAATAGACTAAAGATAAGAAAAAAGTCTTTGCCTTTTGGAATTCAAATGGTCTGGTATGAGCCTAGAAACCACGGAGAAAACTGCTATTTTTGCTCATGTAATGTGCAAGGCTGGTGAACTATAACTTTTCACACAAGGTGAATTTAATGATTTGGGGAGAGATTTAGACCTTCCAAATAATTGATTCTTTAGAGATTTTGTGTCCAAACTTCGCACTAAGGACTCCCTTTTTCCAGGGACATCATTTTACTGGTACAGAAATCGCGAGAAAGAGTTTATACCATAAGAAACTTCACTGGTTTATTGCAATAATATTGCTGAATTAATACCAATGCTAGGAGCTGCAGTATATGAACCGAGTGAATGATGATTGTTCATTGATTCCTCCAAAAGAAGTCTAAAAGGTGTTTTGCTTCACAAGGTAACATATATGCATCTGTTCCTATTGCTCATTCGGTTCACTTGAAGGAAACATACGAAAATCTCGAACTTCTTAATAAGGTCAAATACAAAGAACATTATAAAGACTTAAAAGTCCTTTGTATGTTGTTTGGTCAACAATCCGGTTATACAAAGTTTCTATGTTTTTTTGTGTGAATGAGACACCAGAGCACGAAATCAGTGCTGGATAAAGAATGAATAGCCACACAGAGTCAGCCTGATACTAGGATTGGAAAACATTGAACATGAAAGTTTGACACAAAGAAAGTCCTATTACCTTCACTTCACATAAAACTGGGCTTGATGAAGACCTTAGAGAAAGATGGCGACTGTTTCAAGTACCTTTGTGAGCAATTCCAAGCTCTTTCAGAAACGAAACTTAAAGAAGGGATTTTTGTTGGGCCTCAAATTAGGAAATTGACTTTGGATGAACAGATCGAAAGGTCAATGTGGAAAGTTTAAAAAAGAAGCGTGGATTGCCTTTAAAGATGTTATTGACAATTTTTAGGAAACAACAAGGACACAAATTACGACAATATTGTCAATAACGTGCTCAATAAATTCAAAGAGTTGGGTTGTAATATGATCTTGAAAGTTCATTTCTTACACTCACTTGTTGACTGTTTCCCTGAAAATCTCGGTGCCGTCAGCAAAAAACAAGGGGAAGTTTCAAGAAAGTACCAGGGAAGGTGGAACATAGCATGATAGCTGATTACTGCCAGTCATTGAAATGGTATGTTCCAGACACAATACATAAAATAAAGACCACAACACGTAGTTTTGAGACTAAATGTCGTAGGTTTCACAAACACCAAATCAGGATGAATGAGGATGCATATTCATTTAACATCAATGTTCTTCCCTTTTCTTCAGTTTGTTTGTATTTTTGTTAACAAACATAATAATAAAAAAATGTTCATTGTGGCAAACGAAATAATAATTTGGTCTAAAAAATCCTTAAGTGATAGAAAAAAATATTATTTTCGAAATCTGTGTAGCTGAATTATTGAAAATCTTTTATTTAAACCAAAACAACTTTTATGCAATTTAAATTTGCAGGCCTGTGTTATCCAAACAATTGAGATATTGCTATTATCATTCCTCATTAGCACTTCCGATTTATTCATATTTGTCTAACTTAATCAATTAGTGATACCACTCATGAAAATAATCAACTAATCGAAATTTGTTTCTGATTGTTCTAGCTTCCAAATAATAAAAATACTGCCATTGTGATTTCTCATAAGCTTTTTAACAATTAATTGAAGTTTATTGACCCTTGGGACGGCATGGTACAGTGATTATGGTGGTTGCCTCATGATTCAAAGATTTGATTTCAATTGTCACTAACCATTCTCGTCCTTTCAGCTACAGGAACATTATATCTAATTTTGAACTGTTGATCCGAGGGAAAGCAACTGATCTGCAGGGTCAAGTACCCAATATTGAGCTACACTTTTACAAGTGAATAAGGAAATTGAACATGACAGGAAGTCAGTTACTACTGCTGTTCATGTGCACTCGAAGGTATGCATGCATCCTGCTTACACACAACTCACAAACATAAGGGTGTGGCATAGTGGCTGTTGATTATATAAATAGCCATAGTGATGGTTGTTGTTTACCTTGTTTGTACCAAACAAATTGTAGTTTTAAATTAAAATATCGCTTACTTATGACAAGTATGGTTTGGTCTGTTATTTCATTGGTGGTAGTGCCCAGGGTCACTGATGAGGAGTGGAATTTTCCGAAACTAGTCTGGCTCAAGACACTCCCCCAATGAAAGAATAGACCATTCCAAGTTTTTACTTGTTTTTAAACAAATATTTATTCGTTACTATTCCTGTTAATTCGTATTAACAATTAGTACATACAAAATACATTTCTTTAATACAACATGAATAACCTTTACTAATAACCCATTAATTGAAGCTTGAGAGTCAGAAATTCTATCTTCAACATAGTTGGCAAGGTGTACTTCTGTAGCTTGGATACTTTCAACATTTTCTCGATAAATCTGATGAAGAGGCGTGAGAAGATTCTGAAGTCTTGAGGAGCTCAGAAAACACATGACTTTCTGCCTCCGACATGAGTTTTTAAGCAACTTTTCTTCCTGTTCCTACGAATTACCAAATAGTATGCAGAACTACCCCCAAGTAGTTCTCACACCTTATTGGTCAATCTGTGCAACATCCCGGGCTAGTCCAAAACCATAACCAAAACTCTCAAGTGATTGGTTATTGTTATGGCGAGTTAGCTGGTCGCCTTCTTACTTGTACTATTACACTAGCCTCGTGTAAGGAATATATCATCAAAGTACCGCTTTTGCGTGTTAACATCAACTTTTTCGTAGCTTCCACAGTACTAACGAGTTGACGTTAGCAATTAATTACTGTCAATCAATGGTACTAGTGCATTTACTTTGTTGCTAGGCAATAGCGTCATTTTTTATAACTCTTTATAACTTATGATTCTCAATACCACTATGCTCCAGCTACTTAATATCGACGTAGTTTCTCAACGCTATATATATGGCTACGACAGCGGTAGTCACGTGCCGCTGGTAACACGTCATGATATTCTGGAACGATCGGGGAACATCACGAATAATCCAGTATGTGCTAGT